AGAGGGAGGAAGAAGATAGGGGAGAAAAGGAAGGAAGGAAGGAAGGAAAGGAAAGGAAAGGAAAGGAAAGGAAAGGAAAGGAAAGGAAAGGAAAGGGAGTTGTGGGCGCAAACATTGCCATCTTAAAATAAACTCCCCCGTTTATAAAACTTGGATTTCGGGACCTACTGCAAAGTTTTTCACCATAAAAGGAGTCAAATTCTGAAATATTGCCCAAGCACTATTGTGGGAGTTAAAGAACCCTTGTTTATATTTAAAAAAAAATATTAAGGAATGTGGTGTCTACTTTGAGGGAGAAACATCCAAGAGGTCATTTACAGGGTCCTCACCCACCCACCCATCACCCCTTCTCAAAAACATTTTGGGGGGGATTGACATTCCGGGGTTTGTCTGAAAATCCAAACTTGCAAAACAGAAAGCGAACGGGTGTTTTCGAGGAAAGTTTTGGGGTAGAGTTGAAATAAAGGGGCATGTCTCAATCAGATTTAACAGATAATCAGAGTTGGAAGGGACCTTGTAGGTCATCTAGTCCAACCCCTTGCCCAAGTGGGAGACCCTACACCATTTCTGACAAATGGCAGTCCAATCTCTTCTTGAAAGTCTCAAGTGATGGCGCTCCCACAACTTCCGAGGGCAGAAAGTTTCTCCTTATTTCCAGGTTGAATCTCTCCTTGATCAGTTTCCATCCGTTGTTCCTTCTCTGGCCTACGGGCGCAACAAGCATCTAAACGAAAACGTCCATAATTGAAACAAGATTTATGTGCAAAATCTGATGCAATAAACCGGAATGGGCAGGGCCAAGACAAGCTACCGAGTGAGCCAAAACTCCATTTAATTTTAAGGCAATTTAATTTTAAAATGTTTAGTCTTGTTTGATTTGAGCTGGCGACTTATGGCTGCATCCGGGTGATGTTCTTGGCAATGATTCCGAAATGCTTCCCCGGCCCTGCAATTTCTGTTACTTCGGTCTCTATTCAATAGTCACATGATCTCCTTGTGGTCCCTTGTCCAAGTTCTAATCACACTCCAGCCAGGGGTGTGTGTATGTGTACACACACACACACACATTCACACGCGCATGCATACATACATACATACATACATACATACATACATACAGGGGTTGGGGCTGTGTGCTTAGTGCATTGATCTCTTTCCAGGATATTTTTGAAGCTTTTCCTGTGTTTTCTGCAACTTTGCAGCTTGTAGCCCGGTGAAATGGCAGGTTCCATCATCCCCTGCCACAAGCAGAAGACAGGAAATTGAGGGAAGACCTTTCACTTTCTTCACCCAGAATCTGGCTCACTCCGACTCCCGGTTTCAGCTCCAAAATTGTAAGTTGTTATTTTAAAAAGTGTGGGGTCAGTGATACAAAATGCCCACCCACAGCAGGTATGCGATGGATGGACGCTTTGCTCAAAAGCAGGCAGGTTTTAAACAATATTTGTTTCCTATCCTTTTCCAACTCGACATCTGGTGTTACCTGCAAAACATCACAGGCACCTTCTCAAAGAGAGAGAGGGAGGGAGGGGGAGAGAGAGAGAAAAAGAAAGAAAGAAAGAAAGAAAGAAAGAAAGAAAGAAAGAAAGAAAGAAAGAAAGAAA